AAAAAGTGCTTTTTTAATTGCGTTTTATTTTGAAATGACACATCAGATGTTGCTGTCAGTTTGTGGTTGTGTTCTAGAGGTGTCCCTCTGTCAACCAGATGTGCTGGAAGTCATTGGAAACAGAGAGTTTTCCAGCAATGGGCATGGCAACTTAGGTTAAAAAAAGTCAAAAAGGTGCTTTTTTAATTGTGTTTTATTTTGAAATGACACATCAGATGTTGCTGTCAGTTTGTGGTTGTGTTCTAGAGGTGTCCCTCTGTCAACCAGATGTGCTGGAAGTCATTGGAAACAGAGAGTTTTCCAGCAATGGGCATGGCAACTTAGGTTAAAAAAAGTCAAAAAGTGCTTTTTTAATTGTGTTTTATTTTGAAATGTCTTTCAGCATAAATACAAAGTCTTAAACTCGAAGCCGTTGTAAATCTATTTCCAGTAGATTAAACATGGACCGGATGCGCGCTTTTATTGTGAAAGCAGCACGTAAATGGCGGTACCATAATGTCTTGAGCTATCGCGCATGTGAAAATCGAGAGCGGGCTGGCTTTACTGTTATTTTTGAAGAGGCGGCTAGCTTTACCGCAGTGAATCGCCACATTTCTTTCTTACATAAAAAAGAATACAACATATATATTTATAAACTTAAATATTGCAAGGCAACAGAGATAAATGAATAAATAAACAGGCAGTATTACTACAAGTTAAAGCCTTATATTTTATAAAAGGTGACAAAACTCGTATGTTTGCATCAACATGGTATAGAAACAGCAAGCTATTCAGTTCGTTCTCGGACATTAGCTTTACAGCTAACAGGTTCTTAATATTTTCTCACCTCGAGTGAAGCGACCCAGCTATATTCCTAATGAAAGCGACACCTGCAAAAAACGTGAGCATTTAAGAGACTTGGCAATATGCATACATTTATTATTATTATTATTATTATTATTATTTTTACAATTAAAATAGGTGTTCCTTACCACGACCTGTCATTGCAGCCGCCATATTGGAAAACTTCACGACGTAACACGGTTCGCTTTACGGTAGCAGTGTTTATCTATTAAAGTAAAAGTAGAAACTTTCATAAGAACGAATAATTTCATGTTTATCCTGATATCATCATCAGGTGTTATTTAAACAAAAAATTTGGTTCCAACTTTAAATCAGGGTTTTAAAAAAAAGGCAAACGTCGTACGGTTTGACCCTATCAGGATTCCGTACCTTTGGCAGGATTTTTGCGACAACGCGCTGCTCTTTAACGTTACAGCTGCAAGACTACAGGCAGCATGTGAGGAGTTTATTTTGATTTACTCAGACTTAAATAGTAAAATAAATTAAACCTTTATTCAAGGTTTCTGAGGCGCCATGCCTGAGAGGACACTTCCCGCCTCCCCTAATTGGTACAACTCGCGCTGCAGCGATGTCAGCAGGAGCGGTTTGTTGGGAGTCGGGGCCAAAAACGTAATCTACTTGATAGAGGTCTCTGCTGCCTCATGCAGGGTTACAGGTGAGTTTGTGCACACTGTCAACGACATATAACACCATAAAGTAATAGGTTTTTAATTATATTTTTTTCTGGAACTTAGAAAATAAGTTAGAAACTATGTCTTCGAACTCAGTATCCAATTTCTCTACATTTTCTTTAACTTTTTTTTTTGTCTTGCCTCCAAAAGTTTTACATCAATGGATATGCTTTAACTCAGGAACATTTTGTTTTGAAACAGGGTCTATGTCTTTGGTGTCTTCTCTAATTCTCATTACTTTTACCAGAATATTTCTCTTGGTCATCAGTTTATTGTTTTAGGCTGTATTTTTAGATCTGAAAGCTAGTAGCTCATGTAGTCTTAAATTGTCAGTGATTGTACTTATGCTAAAACAGAAAAAGGCTGGGAATGTTATATAAAAATGTGACTTTAGTAGTTTTTAAATGAATAGCTGCACATTTAGAGTTCAGGTCTGGATATTATGAAGCATCTTAATGATTTTTCTTTCTTAATATATGGAAACTGCAGATTAAAGTCTCCATCCTCGTTCTTTGTCTGTGTGAACAGTACTTTAGTGCTTTGTGTTTTGCAGGTGAGCTTGCTGGCCACAGAGATTTGGTGTCAGGATTTTCCTTCTGCCAGCACCCTGAGCAGAGTCACATCTGTGTCAGCTCCTCCACTGATGGCAGCATAATCTACTGGGACTCCAGCAAGAAGACTTTGATCAGCAAGAATGTGGCGCATCAGGTACATTTAGAATCATTCTGACTGCTTTGCACTAACAGAATGAGTTAAGTGTCTGTTCTGGCCCATGTTATGCTGAATCAGGATAGTAGATTGATGTTTGGTTTTAATAGTTTAAGATAAGTTATCTGCAAAATTTTAGATCACATGGCAGAATTAAATTGGGTTGTTTTGTGTTTATCAGAGTGCCATCTCAGCAGTGCACTGGTCCCCTGTGGATAAAAACCTGGTGGTATCGGGTGACGAAAAGGGAGTGGTGGTCTGCCACTGGTTCCACACCGGTGACACAACCAGCTTCTTCCCTGAGCCAAGGACCATTTTCTGCCTGACCTGCTCTCCTCACAGCTGGAAGTCTGTGGCTGTAGGGTAGGTGGATCATTCCACATCACTTTACTCCACAATTAAGGGTGGAAGATAGTGGCTTTATGCGAGGTTACTAGTTTGAATATTTCACAGTTTGTCTTCTGATTGTTTACCTGCTGTTTGTTAACTAACATTTATCGGTGAGTAGTAGTAGTCTCCTGACTTTCCTAACTACAACTCGCTGAACTGCAAACCTCCAGAACTAACAAAGGCTGGTTTCACACCGCAGCCTAAAGTGAACCAAATCCGATTTTTTTTTGCCCATATGCAAGCTTGATCTGATCTTTTCATGACGATCTGAACAACACAGATCAGATTTTTTTTTCGAATGTTACCCAATCCGCTTGGCTCTGTGGTCCTGAATCCGATCCGAAACTGAACTTTTCAGATGCGACCTTTGTCTGAACAGCCAGGTCGCATCCATCCTACCTGAATGTCATTAATACCCGACAGTGGTCACTCTTCTGCTTCTTGCTACGCAGAAGTGGCATAGAAGAAAACAACAACCATGGCGGACGATGATGCGGAGAGTATTATTTATGTTTAACCATTGTGGAAAGATTGAGTTTTCAAGTTTGGAAAAGGTCACTAAAAGTTTTGCAGCACTACCATCCATGTTTACTTCTGTAAACACAGAGCATGCTTGCTTGTGACGTCATTGCGTCCTCTACTGCACATGCGGGACATTTGGGTTGTATAAATGCTGTTCAAAAAGGAGATCACAAACAAGTTGCATATATTTGGAAATGTGAACAGCAATGCAAAAAAATCTGATTTCACAAAAAATCGGAATTGAGCATCAAGGCCTGCAGTGTGAACGTAGCCTAAGACTCCTAAGTCGATACATGATCGAAACGTGATCACAAAAAAATTATTTTAAGTCTGTTGCAGTTTCCTTACAATAAAAAGTTAGGATATTTACCCACTTTAACATTTGCCCCAAAATGCTGTATAATCCATTGAAACTCTCCTTTTAGAAGAGTTTACTCTAGGCACCACTCTTTATTAATTTGGGTATTTTGTTGCAGAACAGAAAAGTAAAGGATTATCAAAAGATGGTTTAGTGAATTATTTCTAAATAATAATAGTTCCAGTGAAATGGTTCCATTGAAACTTGTGTAATGACAAACAAACCAACGCAGGTACAAAGACGGGATGATCGTGCTGATTGACATAAGTAAAAAAGGCGAGGTGATGCAGCGTCTGCGGGGGCATGACAACGAGATCCATTCGCTGGCATGGTCCCCTCAGATCGGAGAGGAGGCCCTTTACGCCAGAGCTGATGAACACGAAGGTAACTTTAACATGTCAACTTAAAACATGTGTATATACCGGTATGTATTATTTAAAAAAAATATATGACCTCAATTTAAATCTAATGCCTATATGGTATGAATCAGCAAACAATGGAGTTTCAACAGGAGAAGATTCCGGCTGCTATCTGGCTTCTGGGAGCAAAGACCAGACGGTGAGAATCTGGAGCACTGCCAAGGGAAAAGGTGAGGGAAGAGCATTTCTTTAAAAAAAAAAATTTTTTTCATACATTTTCTTTTTTTTTTTTTTTTTGTTCAATTGTAATGGAAGGGTATATAGTTTAAGAAATCTCTCCACAAGTTTAAGGCTAGAATGAAATTATTTGGAAGACTGTTCCTTCAGCTACTCTATATATAGATCTCTTTAGAGAGCTGATTGCTGAGTCCTCCTTGTTTTCCACTCTCTCCTAACAGGCGTGATGACTCTAAAGCTGCCGTTTCTTAAGAGAAGAGGCTCTGCTGTTGACCCTGGGGTAAAAGAGAGGATCTGGCTCAACGTCCACTGGCCGAAGGGACGAGCGATGCAGCTCGTTTCCAGCTGCTTCAGGTTCAGAGTTCCTTACAGAGGGTTGAAAAATTCAGGGAGTAAAAATTTTCAGATTAAAATACACCTAACTACTCCTCATGGATGAATATTGTTGATCAGGAAGATAGATCTCCCATTTAAAACTAAATAGAATGATAATTTTTCAGAGTTCTGATTTAAAAAAAAACTCTATTATAGCTTAAAATCATACTCCGTAAGGTTTCCCAGCCTTTTATTCAGTGGTAAAGTCTGAAAATATTAATTTACAGTTAAAACAGAAGTATTAGTCAGTGGGAAAAATGTTATGGGAAGAAGTGCTTTTATTAAAATTGAAGGTTACAGAAATATTTGCACTGGCAAAAATTTGGGTAGCATCAGGTCACTGAAGACTTTTTCTGATTAGTATTTTTTATTTATTTATTTTTTGCTAGTAAAAAAGATAAAAATTTTCAGTCGTATCCAAACAACCAGAAAAGAACAGTGATACTCAACTTCCCTGAGACTTGACTGGAACTGTTAGGTCTAATCATGTAAAAAACTACAAGTTGAGCCTTTAAAATACTCTAGCTTGCTTTGAAATAAATCAAAACTACTGTTACCTACAATTAAGCATGTTAGATGATCTGTAATGCTGTTGGACTGTCTCTGCAAGAAAACTAAAATCTAATGTTGTAGGGCTTCAGTGAACAGCTTTTAAGCAGTTTTCAGCCAAAATGCTGATGCTATCTCTCATATGTTCAGCGGTGAGTTGGTGATGTGGGATTTGACCAAAACTGGGAAGCAGAAGTGGAGTCTGTTCGGAACATCTTCTGAGGGTCAGAACCACAGCCGGATTGTTTTCAACATGAGTTCTGTTCAGCTGCAGGACGGCCAAGAGCTGCTGATCAGCACTTCTATGGACAGAGAGGTGGGTCACCTGCTTTTACCTAAAAACTAAACTAGTTTTGCATTAGAATCATATATATATATAGGCCTATGAGTGAATGTGTGGTCATTCATAGTTTTAAAGATTATTTTATTGTAAAGAAATAGCCTTTCAAAGTAACCTCTCCTTTCCACTCCTAATGTGATGCAATAAAAAAAAAAGCTTTAAAAGTTGCTGTTTGATATAAACTCTGAGGGATAACCATGAGCTGCACTTTATTTAGAAACAGCTGTCTTGTAGAAATGTGAAATGTATTTCTTTCTCATGCACTATAGTCTGCGTTTTTATTTTTGAGTTATTCTGAAGTTGCACTCCTGAAACCACGGAAGCATCAGGTGGGTAACAGAGTGGATGTTTTCTTTTTGAAACATCTCAGATTAAATGCTGGGACCTGAACTCTCTGAGTTGCTGCTGGACCCTTCCCACCCTGGGGGGCCACATCTACACCCTGACCTTCTCCCCCGTGGGTGTCGGCTGTTTGGCGCTGGGCGTCGGCGACAACTTGATTCGAGTGTGGAACACACTGAGCACCCAGAACCAGTATGATGTCAGATCCTTTTGGCAGGGAATCAAGTCGAAGGTCACAGCGGTAAGAATCATTCTGCTTTGCTAGGCTGACAAATTTTCTTTATTCCCCTTCTGTCTACAGCAACAACAGAGATTTTCCTAGTATGAAAACATCTAGGCCTAATTATAGTCTCTAAACCTTGAGAAATAATCTGCTACAATACAATTCAAAGAAATTAGGCCTCAGTGATATTAGGGAAATGCAAATGCTCAGTTTGAGCTGCTTTCTGCTGAGGCTGACTGTGTGTAGAGAAGACAGATGCAGACACACAAAGGGAAGATGGAAGCACTGATCCATAAATGCTTTCCAAGTTTAAAAAGATAATGGCAAACAAGCTCCATCGGTGGCTCTGTCTAGGAAAGAACCGGATTAGCAGGTGAGCTCTGAGCAGGTTTTTAAGTCAAAAGGACGAAAGCGAGTACATCCAGTTAGTAAAAACTGATTCAGGATAAAAGAAACTATAAGCTTTATCAAGAAGGGATGTTATTATAAGCTTAGTCTTAAAAGTACAAAATTAAGCTGTCTGCTCAGCTCTGTGAGCCAAATGTATTTTTAGTATGCTGAATGTGAATGGGTGATACTGTACTTATTAGAAATACATTGAGACATTATTTTGAAATATGCTCTTTGGAAGTCTTTGTAGTTTATGCTTGTTATGCCATCATTACGTTTTTACATGATGTCTGGAAAATGCTAAAATTGAATTCCAGTGTTTTCAAGGCCTGGATAGGTATGAAAAAAGAATGCCCATGTCCTCATTTCCTCATTTATTTACTTTTCTTCACCCTTTTTCATCTGTCCTTCCTTTATTTATTCCTGATATCGTTTCTTGTTGTTTTTTATGTTTTCTACCTTTTTTTTCCTGTTATTTTTTGCTGTTCTTCTTGTCGTTTCTGTGATCAGGCCCTATGCAGTCTTAACAGGAGTTCTGCTGTGAGATTTTAATTTATTTTTGGTTTCATCGCAGCTGGCATGGCACCCGCAAAAAGAGGGATCCTTGGCCTTTGGAACCGATGATGGAAAAGTTGGGATCTATGACGTCTTTTCCAGCAAGTAAGATCCTCTGTGCCAGGATTAGTAAAATTCACTCCATCGCTGTCCTTCTCCTAATTGCTTTTGACTTACTGCTGAGTCAATAAGGCAGCTCATGTGTTATAGTTTCTATTCATTATATCCCTCAGTGGTTTGAGCCAAGTCTGGCATGAGCTGCATGTTACCTCTATTTTGTCGATTAGATTCAGTCGTTTTCTATGTTAAGACTTCAAATTGCTTCTCTTTTTAAACTGTGGAAATAAATAAAAAAGTGGTTTTCCTTCTCAAAGCTGACAGGCTATTTAGACATCAACTGTGTCTTTCTAATTCTGTTATTTCTGGTTCTCTACAGGCCTCCTCAGATATCGAGCTCCTATCACAGGAAGACTGTGTACACATTGGCCTGGGGGCCCCTGGTCCCTCCACTGTCATTTGGTAAGTTCCCATTGAACAGCTGCTGTTTTCTCAGAAGCTTCTGGAGCTGCAGATATCTACATCAAATATTAAGCCTACATAATTGGCAAAGAGTCCTGTATAGGTGTGAAATAAATTCAGAAATAAACTGAGCTAAAGTCAAGCTGCTTTCCAATTTAGGCCTGTTTTTTAATAAGCTCTCCATGTAATTAGGAGACAAACCCTTTTGTTGCACTGCCAATCATTTATTTCTCATCTTAGCAATATAATAAAACCACCTGATACTTGTAACCTGATGCCAGTTTCGACAGCACAGCTCCTCATTAGGAAGAGATTTTTTGTCTGAAACCTGTTTTTGTCAGGTGCTGAAGGAAAGCAGAGCTACAGTCTGTACAGCTGTGCTGGTGAAGGTGTGATCCTGCAGCACGACCCATGGAGGCTAAACGGAGAGGCATCAGATATCGACAAGCTTATCAGAGACACCAACAACATCCAGGTGGGATGTGTGGGAGGGGCTTATCAGGGAGGCCACGCTAAAATGTAAAGCAGTTTGAGCATAAAGTGTCTCTATTGCAAGCTAAATTATACAATCCATTTTACCATTGCTATTTTACATATTTATATATATGTATTTTTTTAAGCATGGAAGTTTTAAAAGAGTCCATATTCTGACTTGTTTCCACTGAACCTGTTTTCCGTCTCAACAGCACAAGTTGTCTCCACACACAGACCTCAGCTGGAAGCCGGATGGGAAGGTTGTCGCCATTGGCAACGAGGATGGGTGAGTGACATGATCTAGTCACCCTCCAAGCCTCAATTTGTCCAAATTTAGCTTGAGATACAGGAAGAACAGAATAAGAAGACCAGTTCTCTCTGAACTGTTGAGGAGCTGACATCACTTTCTGCTCTGATTTCTGAATCCTTGTTGCTAATGTGAAGCAGCTTAGATGATACAGATCAGCACCTCTGAAAAAAAGCTTTCCATAAAGTTACCATAGTCAACGGTCAGGTATTTCTTTTTTTTTTTCTTTTTTTTTTTTTGACCCTCCAGAACTTCCATTTAGTGCAGTGACTGCTTTTTGTTTTAATCAGTCCTCTTTAACTCCAGACCCTTTACACCTTAAGATTTTTTTTTTTCTTGAACTATTTCAATTAACCACATTTTGTGGTGAAAGCCTACATCTTTTGTGAGACTCAAATTGAAAAAGTTAACATTTTGTTGCTTGTGTTTTTACCCTATTTAATGTAATAGTTTAGATTAAATCATTTTGTTTTTTAATGATATTTTTTAAATAATATTTTTGGTCTGTTGCTTTTTCATTCACCACAAGCTCCTTTAATGAGCCTGGTGTTATTTTTTTTTTTTACTGTAAAATAGTCCTAACAATCTTTTTTTGCTTAGCTGTACTAACCCTTACTCTGATTCTGCAATATCAACAACTCACTGAGCTAGAGAGGAAAGTTTAGACCAATTTTGGTCATCAAGTTGCAATATGACCGACAGTAGGCCTAAATAGAACGGAAAACAATGAAGAGTTCCCACACTTCCTTTTTTAATTCCAGAAATCAGTTTTGTGTGTGTGGCTGATTGTATAGCAAAATATCTTGATATGATTCCAGTGCAGCATATAAAAAGTCAAATAAGTGGCATCAGTTTAGTTGTTTTAATAGTTGGTTTTCGATCAAGCAGAGCTGCTGCAACACTTTACTTCAAGTCTCATTTCAAAGTTCCTTCATAGGAACCTCCCACTTTGTGGTCAAAGCACATATTTCTTTCTCCCCGAGTCTTTCTGAAGGTCCGACCCTTTTCTCTCTTCTGCAGGAGCATCGATGTTTACCAGGCTCCAAGTCTGAAGCTGCTGTGCAGCATCCAGCAGCACCACAAGATCATCAACACGTTACAGTGGCATCCTGACCATGGCTCTACACCTGAACTCCACTGCCTGCTGGCCTCAGGCTCCAGTAACGCCATCGTCTACGTGCACGATCTCAAAACTGTCTTAGGTTTGAGCATCTTCTTATTTAATCAGAAACATTCTAACCATGCATTGCTCCGTTTCAAATAGATATTCAATGATAATGATACCATGCTTTTGCATTTCTAGTTTATCTTTTAGGAATTTGCAGGTTTACCAAAATATTCCAAATGCTTTTTCATCTAGCTTTTTTTTTTTTACGGACTATTCTTACCAGAGATGGTGTCCCAGGTTGAATTTATAACTTAATAATTATTTCTAAACAATAAGAAAATTATTTGAGCTTTTACTTCAATAACTAGCAGACCCTGTGTGTATCCAAAAAAGTAGATTGTTACTTTAACTCTAAGATTTCCTGGATCTGCTAACTTTGAGCTGAACTGGATAATAATTATGCTGTTTATCAGTTGCTATAGCTGATGATTAAGTACTTTAATTTCTTTCTCATCTCTGCCTTATTCACTCTGTGACCTTTAACATTTTGGGTATTTATGTTTGGGGAGATGATCTACTACTGATTGGCTAAACAGTATGATAATGTAAAATGACTGTTTACGACACTTAGGACATATGAGTCTCAATGAAATATTTTCAAAGGAATGAAATGATCTTTACTCTTTTAAGTTCAGCCTTCTTGTCATTTGCTGATAACTCAAACCCTTTTTTTCAGGGCTGAATAGTTTGCTGACATCTGTCAACACAACACAATTAAAAATATTTTTTTCCTTTCTAATGAGGTTCTCCTTTTTCTTAATCTGTTCACTGGAGTGGCTAATTTTATATTCTTTACTTAACAACAACAACAACACTTTAAGTAGTGTTGTCAGAATAGTTTGACACTGATTTTATGAAATTGTTTGATATCAGTTTTCCGTTTGTAGAAAATTTTGATTTCTTTCTTTTTTTTGTTTGTTTCCACAGAAAATCCCCCTGAGAGCCCAGTGCTGCTGACTGAGCCATATCGTAGGCTGCCTGGGCACACGGCTAAAATCACCGGCATGGCCTGGAGTCCACACCACAGCGGCCGACTGGTCACTGCCTCGTACGACGGCACCGCTCAGGTCTGTATGAAAATGGAACTGGATAGTAACAGGATGTGCTGTTACTTTACAGGTGCTGGTGAAGATTCTCAGTCATCTAGGTCATGGTCATTCCAAAAAAAGAAAGTTAAAAAACAATCCACTGGACTTTTTGCTTCCCATCCACGAAGCTTTTTCAATTCAAAATGTTAGGAATACCGTTAGGTTCGAGGTTTTATACAGTAGCCCATCAAAACCATTTGTTTGTTTTGAAAACATGCAAATTTAAACTGATGAAGGGGTCCACCCCTTTGGTATGGGGGTTGTTTGGCTTCCTTTGTTAGACTGCAATGCCCCATACCTGTCTAAGTGTCTGAAAGGGTTGTCGTTAAAGGGAAACATTATCCTGTAATTACTTTACAGGGAAAATGAACTATTTTTCCTTTCTTAAAATGTATTTTCAAACTTTATTCACCATCAAACCTTGAATCAATCAAACCTGTTCTCCATGCTTCTGGTCATATAAGCTCACATCTCAAATTTTGTAAGCAAGCCCTCTGTCTGTCAGTTCATCCATAATTTTATCCATATGAGTGTTGATCGATTAGCCATTTGTCCAGTAAACAATCTACTCCTTTTAGTGATCCAGACACACATATATCCAGTTTCGTCACCTTTTCTGGCCTTTGAGGCCTAGTTTCTATAGAAATGGCGGCTTAAAACAGAAACATCCATCGTCATACTTTGAATATGGGTTAAAAAGAAATCTGGGAATAAAAGATTTGAGTCTTAAAAATTAAAGATATGTAGAAAGTCTGAAACAACATAAAATGTTCCCAAAGTGATCCATCCATTTCTAATCATTACAGTGGACTATTGTGTTGTGTCCCTCTATGTAGGTGTGGGATGTCCAAGAGGAGGCAGCTATCTCCAACTACCGCGGCCACACTGGTTATTTGCTGTGTGTGGATTGGTCTCCGGTTGATCCAGATGTGATTTGGACTGCAGGGAAAGACTTTACGGTTCACGAGTGGAGGGTGTCTGAGCAGGAGTTCACAAAGCCTCCTAAAGGTAAAGGTAGGCACGAAATAGGCATCTGGATATCAGTAAAACCACTTCATATAACATTGTGCTGTGGTTTAATCTCAGGGAAGAAGATGGTTCTGCTGCAAGAGAAGAAGCAGAGAAAGAAGAACACTGGATCCGGAGGACCGGTTGAGCCAAAGCTAAATGGAAATGTAGTGGCTGAAGGAAAGGTGACGATAGAGCAGGGTCCCTCTGTTGAAGATGAAGAGGAAGAAGTAATCTCAACAAACAGCCTGGATTCTCCAGCAGGTAACAATATATTAGATAATGCAAGCAGGTCTCAGTTAATAGCATATGAAAAAATACATCTTTTATTTTCAGCAGCTCCTGAGATGCAGAGGAAACCCACTTCTGCTGCAAAAAGTAAAGAGAAACCAGGTCTGTGATTTAAACTCTTTAGACACATGAAGAAATAAAGATTATTTTTTAACTGTTAGTTGGTAAAAATTAACCTGTTTTTTTTTCTCAGTTTAATGCAAGTATTAGACCCTTAGTTTGTGAATATCTCATGATATCTTCTCTGATGCTTCATCAGATCTGCTGAAGAAGAAAAAGCCTCGCTCCATGCTGCCCCTCAGTACATCCATGGACCACAGGCCTAAAGAGGAGCTGCTGCAAGACTGCGTGACTCTGGCTTCAGTCAGAAACTCCGATGGTGAGAAGGGACTGCAGATATGAATTGGCTTATGCTACAATCTGGTGCAGCTCATCAAATTGTGACTCTTATAGTTGAGCTGTACATTTTACCTTTTCAAATAGTTATTATGTTTGCTTCAGAAATGTCAGTCATTCATTTGTTGGACTCAGCAGCTCCATTAAAAAAAAAAACAGAAACAGAAACTCTTCTCAAACTCTGCCCCTCTTTCAGTGCTGGGCCCGTCTCAGTATATGGAAGCATTACATGATTCGGGCTCAGATTTGATTGTTTTTAAATAAGGATTTCTACAAAATTATTCAAATGATAATTGTTTTTTTTTTTTTATTGTTTTTTCTAAGGTTAATATTTGTGTGATCATTTTCTCTATAATCTTTTTGCTGCTGTAAACACCAGAATTCCCCCATTGTGGGACCATAAAGGTATTTTCTATTTTATTCCAATGGATGTACTGGATGTTTTAAAGGATGTTGAGGCCTGAATACAAAATAATTAACTTCCCGATCATAATTATACGCTGCTTTGCACTGGTCTGTCTCATGAAGATATTTGGCTGCAACTTGACCAAGTACAAAGCTTTTTTTTTGTGACATACATTAAACTTTTTAGTCAAAAGGTGTTGATCCAGATGGAAATCATATCAGTATATCTGCATCAACTTCCAACTTAGAAATTACACTTGTTGATTTAAGTTTTTTGTGTGTTCTTTCAGCACCACCTGCAGGCTGTGTCCCAGGCAAAGGAGATTACATCCATCTGGGTTTGTTTCATGACAGAGAAGCCCTTTACCGGATGTTTGAGGCTGAAGGTTTGTGAGGTTTCTTTTCCCTCCAGCTGCTGCTGTTCAGCCTGTTATAAGCTTAAATTACCTTTTGTTGTACATTTTTTCTATTAGAGGAGAGCCATGTGGAGGCAGGCCACTATGATTCTGTCACGTATCTGCGGCTGTGGAGCGGAGACCTCCAGGGGGCGCTGCAGCTAGCCACTGAAAGAGGAGAGCTGAACGACCACCTGCTATCTATCGCTCCCATGGGTAACAAGTTTGCATGCAGAGTTGGTCCTGCTGTATTCTTGTTTCTCTATTTCTGTTTTTATCTTTTGGGTAACTCTGTTTCTCCCCTTGCCCACAGCTGGCTTTGAGGTGTGGCGCCGTACAGTAGAGGCGTTTGTCAAACAGCTGTGTCTGCAGGAGCAGTTCCTGAAGGCAGCATCCCACCTGCTGTCACTCAACAAGGTGTATGAAGCTGTCGACCTGCTCAGATCCAACAAGCTCTACAGGTCTGTGTCTCCCAGTGTTTTTACATAGAGGACAGTAATAAGGGGCTCAGTTGTATTAGTTTATTTACTGTAGATTTTTTTTCTACTGTAAATATGCTCAAAATTTTACAGATTTGTCTGAGAATTTAACATTTTTTAATTTTCATAAATGTCTTGTTATTTTAACTCTGAATTATGGTGACAAAGCTAATTTTGATTTGAAAAAAGTAATAAACGATATCACCCGGTTAGTTTTTCCATGTTTGTTAAAATTAACAAGTGACCTAAAGAGCTGAGAAATTAATTATTTTTAGTTATTTGTGTTTCTGTTGTAGCTTTAGTGGATGAGCCTCCAGTCACCGCTGCACACTTAACTAGAACAGACTTTGTTGAACAGAATTTGTTGGTTCTTTGTAAATACAAAAAAAATAATCTTTTATCACAATTAATACTGTGCATCCCTCCTTAGAGGCACAACTCTAAGCTTAAAACCCTCAGCAAGCTCCAAGCTCTTTTTTTTAGCCGTCAAAAAGTTTCTGGCTGCTCCCTTTTTATGGTACTGGAACTGGCAGAGCTCGCTGGAAACAGTTGGTTTGCTGGCACACACTTTACTTTCAAACATAATACAAAAAAGTGGATAAGTTTGAGCTAAATATTAACCCGATGCATCCATCTGAAGTTTGTTTAGGACCAATTAATTAGAACTCCCAGTTATGTCAAAGTTCCAACCATCTGAATCGTGTTTATCATCTCAGAAATGGGTCACTGTCCTGACTGTGGAGCATGGAGGACAGCTGAGATTTTCTTTACTCAAGGGAGGGGATAAGGCCGGAGGGTATTATGTATCTTAAAATTTTAACTCCACTCAAGATCTTTGTCCAAATAAAGACTTTATCAGGACCTGTTAAAAATTAGCAGATCTATTAGTCATCAGAGTCCAGAAAGAACAATGCTGGATTGTTTTTTCAAAAGGTTTATATGTAAAGATAGTGTTTTGAAAGCCAATGTAAATCAGAATGAAGTGCATTCCTGGTAAAGACTTTTGTTTTAAAGCTGTTTAATTTATGGTTTCCGCTAAGCTCCTGTCTAACAGGGCGTTCCTTCCGTTTGTTTCTCAGGGAAGCCATAGCTTTGGCAAAGGCCCGGCTTTCAGCAGAGGACCCTCTGTTGAGGGATCTTTACACGTGTTGGGCTGCTGTGCTGGAGAAAGATGGACATTTATCTTCTGCTGCTAAATGGTCAGAACCCAGAACAACAGAACTAGACTCAGAATTTGGACTGTGACAATAACCTATTTTTTTTTTCCTGCCTCTTTTTTTGTCTCAGTTTCCTTGCTGCTGGCTGCAGTTTCGATGCAGCCAAAGTCATTTCCAAAAAAAACGACGTCCCGTCCCTGAGGACTGCAGCCGATATGGCAAGAATCTCCGGAGAGAAAGTTCTGGCTCAGTCACTGACGCTAAGATGCGCCAAAGACCTTGCAGCTGCTCAGGACTGGGTTGGCGCACAGGAGGTCCTGAGCTCCCAGAGCCCCCTACTGGTCAGGACCTGTCATAGCCTGAATCCTCCTCTAAAACAGAATTGATAGATGCATCTAATCTGAATCTCTCTGCTCTGCAGGCCCACAGACTCCACTTGTGTGTGGCGGAGCTGTTGTCTGTAACGCTTGCAGGCTCCGGCGTCTACTCCCCAACTTCCTGTGTCTCCAGTCATCCGTGGGCAACGCTAAAAGGTTCCAACACCCTGCAGGACAGAGTGAGAGACATCTGGGACGAAGAGTTTCAGGTTTTCCCAAACTCAGCTGGAGATTTGAGCACTGAGGTTCTTCTACAAGAGCTGAAGTCTGTGGAGACTCCAGCACGGGGTGCTAGTATCCCTCTCAGACAGGTACATGTAAAAAAATAAAAATAAAAAAAATAAAAGACTAAAGAGAATTAAACATAAACCTGGAAATGGACTGATTTTTTTTTTTATTTTGTCCATGTCCCCATCTTTAGGCCCTGTTGTACTCGTCAGTCCATCTAACTCGCTCCCTGCTCAGCTGGTTACAGAACGATGATAAACTGCTTATTGCAGAGCTGTGGCAGTCTTTGGCTTGGGTCAGGGAGACAGGAAACTTTGGTGTCACTGCAATGTTCTGCCGGCTGCTCTTCCCCGAAGGTACCCCACCCAAAGCAAAGAAAAAATGTCTTTAAGATTTTATTTAAGCCGGTTTGAAAGCAGTCTGCAGGGATTTTCCTAAATAGTAATGAAGCAATTTATTTGTCATTCAGGTGATGTCGGGATATTTTCCAGCAAGCATTCCAAAACCCTCCAACACTTTGAAGCTGAAGCCAGCAGCCTGCAGGCGTTTGTTTGTTACCATCGTCTTTATGAGTGCTGGTGGGGGAACTCGGAGGTCAAAAATGGAACCTGCTCAGACGGTGAGAACGAGTTAAACAGCAAAGAGACGACTGCAGAAACGCTGGAGTTGGAGGAGAGCATCTGCAAAAGGAGCAGCAGCTCTAAAGAACTTGACTTTGAGCCGTCGGTGCTTCTGTCTGAGCCCCATGCTGCCTGTCAGGCTATTCAGAAATCTGTAAGAGATCTCCAGGAGCGACTGTCCGCTATGGTTCTACAGCACAGCCAAGTCCGACAAGGACAACCGGACAGTCAGTCACAATCCTCAGATCAGCAGGAAGCAGCTAAGGAAGCGCAGAGGTTAGTTTCATTAACTTCACTGCATTATTTTCACTGTCATTGAAATTAAAGGTTCTTAAAATAACATTGTAATCACCTAATCTCAGTGTTAAAAAAATAAGTCTTTTTTTTTTTTTTTATTCAATGTTTGTTGTAGTTCTGGTAGATTCTGTCTGAAAACTAATAGGCCCATGATCCAGAGCAATACGCACCATTTCCAGTTACCTTCAGCATGAATTCCTTGGACGTTAATTCCTATAGACTGTGTCGTTTTTAAAAAAAATCCTATCAAACGGTGATGGTACAAATATTTAGTGAGTTTTAGAATAAATAGAGTTGTCTGCTTTTATTACTATTAGTTGGCTCCTCTGAGCAGGTTTGAGCAGGAGATAGACCAATTAGGTCCTCATCTGCAGGAATAAACTAGGCTGTTTGTGCAGTAAGCAAAGATCGGGTAAAAATAATAATTTGCTTGTCTAGTCTTTAGAAGGTGAAATGAACTTCATATGCAGTGAGTCTGAATGCTCTCGCTTCTCTTCAGTATCAAATGAAAGAGCTGATGTTTCAGGCATCCTAGACAAGGGTCAGAATTCCCAGAATGAGTTATTTTACTGCAGGGAGACATGTCTGAGTTTTCCTTCTGGATCAGTTACACCTGCACTCCAATCTCTAATAAGCTGGAAAAAGATGGATAGGCAATGACTTTTAAATTGAAGGTGCACTTCAAGCGTGACAGTCATACAGGGTTAATTTTGTACAAACAGAACGTTTTAACAGGTGCGCTCGGCCTTTTTGTGACTTATTTTCTTGACGTTTCTTTGTTTGCAGTTCTGAAGAACAGGAAACGTTTCTCTCTTTGTCCTCAAAGATATCCAAACTCCAAGAGGAGATGACTAACATTCCCAACACAATCAAGGTACATAACTAGCAGTTAATGAGGAGACTAATGGGTTGGCAAGTCTGGATCCAAAGAATTGCAAATGACAACTTTAAATTTATGGTCTTGCAGATGTTTCCTCGCCCAGATGTGGTGGAATGTTGCCTTGTTCTCTTGCATCTCAGCAAGACTTCTCCCATGTCTGATGCTCTACAAGAACAAGCAAAAGACCTGCTCCAAAAATATGGAACAAGTCCCTTCATCTTAAAAGCATCCCGAAGATTCCTGACAACATCCGGCTTTCATTTGGACTGAAACAAACTCCTCACTCACAGCTTTTTCTGAAATAAAACTATCTTTGAAAATAATTGAGTCAATGAAACTGCATCAAGACATGGATTTAAGTTAAAGCTTCTTTATCTCAAGTTTTATGTTCTACTTTGCTGAGGAACACAAAGGATATTTACATAATTTGGAATGAGCAAAAACATGCATTTTGGTTGAAATAATACATTTTATTTACAGGCCCTTTCAGCAACAACTTAAAAAAAAATCCCTGTAGGGAAAAGGGGGAAAAAAAAGGGGTGGTTGGGGAGGATCTGTCTGAGGTGAATCAGAACTGAGAAGTCTTTAAAATCTCAGGATGTCAGGAGCTGGTCCCACGCTGTAAAAACAAACATGTTTTAAAAAAACAGATCTGACTTGTTTGGCCTGAGACACGTTTAAAAAGCGACATGGAAAGAAACGAGTCAGCCACTGAAGGATCTCTTCCCGCTGCAAGTCCACAGAAAAAGTCGCTCGGATATGTTTAGACAAGTCTTTTTGAAGAACTCGAGAGCAGAAATTGGTCGGTGGTCTTTTAAAAACAGGCGAGTCCGATCAGACGCTCAGTGTTTGTTGTTGGTCTCCTCCTGTCCCGAGCCGGAGATCCCGTTCTGTGGCTGGCTGGATCCAGAGCCGAGACCATACAGCCTCCCGCAGTACTTGGCGTCATCAATGTGGTCTTCGAAGAAAAGCTGGACAGACAATATTTGAATTTAAAACTTATCTGCAAAAATGTTTGCAGCATGATGGCTCAGATGCCATTGGTCTATCTCAAATCGCACTTCAGACTAACTTAACTTGTATACTGTATTGTAACAAGTGAATAAATTAATTTAGATTTATTTGTTCTTGCTTCTTTAAGAGAAAAATAATTTAACAGATCTCAGCTTCAGAGGTTGGGGCTTAGTTTACCTCTTTCATCCTGAAGAAAGCCATCCCTGTGAGCAACGAGTCAGATCCAGCCTGATGCTGTCGTCCGATCCTCTTCAGTTCCAACTGGTCTGCTACTTCCTGCAGGCCTCCCTGCAGCACAAACACAGCAAGCAGGTGAGTCCAGTCTCTTCTGATGACTAAAATGAATCCAATATGACACTGATACGTTTCAGCAAACCTTGAGACTTTTGCAGCTCTTCATCAGGTACTTGACGTCATAAATTGCAGGAAAAAACAAGTTCAGGATCTGAAAGAAGTCGTGCTCCTCTTCAGGGAGGCGAGCATCTGTCAGGAGCTTCACCAGATAGCCAAAGTCGTAACCGCTGAAAGATCAAACAACGTGTTACTCAAAGTGTAGATGGTTATCAAACGATGAGGGCTGGATTTGCTTGGATTCAAAACAACCAACCTGTGGAAGGAGAGCCACTTTACGTTTTCACATAGCACCAGGCCCGACGTCATGAGAAGCTCAGCGAAGTACAGCGTGTCGATTCCTTCTTCTTCATGCTTTTTGAACTGCAGACCAGAGTTCTGCAGCAAGTCTATGGAGTCCTGTGAATACATATCTTCCCTGTGGTGGGGTAAAAAATTACAACAAATACATCAGCTCCAAGCATTTTACTAAAGACCCTCCATACAAGCCAATAAAACTAGAAAATAAAAGACTGAATTCAGTTTAGAGTCGACATAAGATAAGCTCAAATTAAACGTACAGATTTTACAAGAATAAACTGTTCATTTCCACTTTGTGGAGCTTGTATCTAATTGAACCAGTGAGACAGATGCTAAGTTACAGTCTTGCTCCTTCACAGTTGAACTTGTTAACGATAAAGATGGACATATTCCTAAAGGTAAAGTAATCTGAAGCCATACTGGGTCCATCTGTTCCAAGTCGGCACCTGTTAGTAAATGAAAACTTCAGCTCCTGTCCATAAATGCTACAAAAATAATCTATAACACAAGGATGTCTGCATTATAATAAATATGCTCTTTGGTGATGTGGCAGCCTGATAAGTAAATGAATGAGACATAAAAAAAAAACAGCTAATACAGCAAGAAATCATCTAACGCTGAATCTCAAGAGAAACATTTTCCACCTACGTGAGGTTGAATTTGAAGTTGAACTGCCACGTCGTAATGCCTGGAGGATAATCGCCATCCTCATTCATGAAGGTGAGTCCAAGCTGGATGATTTTCAGGAGATCCACGTTGCACCTCAGCAGTTGGTACTGGTAGTCCACCGTGCTGCGAAACTCTCCGATTGGCCGCACGACGACCCCAGGGAACTCTGTGTCCTGGTAAAAAAGAAATGTTGGAAGAGGTCATTGGTTAGCAGGTATGCCACATTGCTCATCTCGCTGATCTGTTAAAATAAGTCATTCGGTGTCACCCAGTCAAAAAGGAGATAAATGGAAGGAGAAAGAAAAGATGGAAACATGTTTATACTTAGAAAAAAACTATCACAATTTTATTTGCTTTTTCCAGAATTAGTAGGAATTCTGTAAAACACATTTGCTCCCAAAATATATTATCTAACAAACTTAAACAACATAAAGTAAAAGAAAAAGCTACTGTTGCACCTTAGTTAGCATTACAGGTTCAGACACTATTGTGTATGTGTGGATATAGCTTAGCTTCAGATATTAGAGCATAGAGTGGATCAGCTAGTCATTAACAGCTCAGAGCAAATTTAACAGATCTTAAGATGGACATATTTAATTTAGCTATGTAGGAACAGTATAAACTGTTGAGATCTTACCATGGCAACATAGTTGTAGCTTTGGATAATCTGTCTGATCTTCCTCATTTCTTCTTCCACATTGCTTGCCCAGACCTCACAAATGATCTGACTGGAATCTGCAAGTGCAGCTGGCATGTTGGCAGGTCAGATGAAAAGCTAAAATACCAACAGTCCTGCAGCGCTCAGTGGAAGGTGAGGAGGAAATCCAATAAAAAAAAATTAATTCTGCGAAAGAAAGGGAAGGAAAATGTTAGTGAAACTGATCCCAATCAAATAATTTTTCCTTAATCTCTACTAAAAACAGCACATAAAAAATAAAAACTCTGCAATGAACCCAGCAAAGCAACTAAAAACCAATCAGTAAAAGCACCAAAAAAAAAAGTGATGCTTTTTTTTTTCTGTGAAGCATAAATATGAATATTTAGAATTCCTTCATTTCCTGTTGGATTCCAAACTAACTTCTGTGCCACTTCAGCTCATACTCTTCTTCAATATTACCTGTGACCAGATTAAAGGGCAACAGTCTCCGAAGAGATGTCTAGACTTCATCTCACACAACTCCTCCTCAATCTCATCTGGGGAAAGCTCAGGGCGTTCTACAATGCGCCCGGGCTGTACCCTGGGCCTCCTGTCAGTGGGATGTGTCTGGAACACATCTGAAACAAATCATCCTTTTTACTGTAGAGAAGCGGCTCTACTCTGAACCTCGCCCACATGGTCATGCTCCTTGACCCGTCTCCAAGGGTGTGCCAGGCCACTCTGCGAAGGAAGCTCATTTATCTGGATATTTGTTCATTTAGAGATGGACACTTGTCTGCAGCAGCCTCACTTAATCTTTCTGTCAAACCCTTTTCATCACTTCCATTTTCCCCTCACTTATAGAAAGGACCATGACATACTTGAACCCTTCACTTCAGACATGAACTGATCTCAACCTGGAGAAGGCAAGTTAACCTTTTCGATTGAGAACCCTGAATTTTGGTGGAATCCCGTTTTTTATGTCTTCAATAAGTTATGGGTTTAGATATTGGATATATTTGTATTGTTTATTTTAAAAGACTTTTCCCCCCTCTACTTTCTTAAAACATGACTTTCAGAAACTGTTAATCAGCTAGTGATTGAAATAGACCTGCTTCGGACTTTCTGACACTTTGCTGGATTGTCTATACTTTACACCGAATATGTCCTGGCATGTCAGCTACTGGTATAGAACAGAAGATGAGGAGGGAAACAGTCAAGCTGCACAGCAAAAGCCTCTGAAAGCCTGATGGCCAGTGTTTTACACAGACATTACAGAAAAGGCCTGGCTCCTTTAAAGTTAGTAATAATGTACAATGGACTTGGGCTCTTTAAAACCCAGTATCCTTTAATCCTATTGTGCTATCCCAATCTTTATGCTTATCAAATGTTTAAAAAAAATACTAATATATAATGAAAAGCATGATAAATAAAACTAAGATTAAAAAGGCTAAGACTGATAGATATCATTATGATAGATAGTATACATGACAGCGGCAAACGTTAGCATAAAAGCGTTTTTAGAGTTTGGTTTGGCTATAAAACAGTAAAAATGAGGAAAATATTTAGTTACAATTCCGTTCAAAAAGTATACGCATAATAAATTAGTCAAGTTCATTAAATTATCTCCACGCAGTCGGTTTGAAATAAAAACAAACGACGCAACAGCGGAAGCGCCAGCATTTAGCTTAGCATCAAAGCTAACCATCAACCGGGAGAGACACAAAAACAAAGGGGGGATTAACAGGCGCTTCCCTGGTTTACTCATCAGTGTGTCTTTCTCGAGTCAGATTTGCAGTAAGAGGGACACATTCTCGTTTAAAAAATATATTTTAGACAACTGTACCTGCTATTTTCTTAGACCGAATCCTGTCAGGCTGGCTGCTGATGCTAATACTGTCTAATTCGATTTCTTCCTGTGTAGCCTATTGGTCTTCATGACGCACACCAGCACCACCTGCTGTACTGGATGGCCAAACACAACGCGGTCAATGACATTTCTTTATTGATTTTTTGTGTCATTCAGTCCTTTTTGATATACTGGTAATTCCAAATGTCCCAGGTGGATGGCGAAAAAAAAAAAACAGTAAACAATTATACCTAGTAATATGCAAATATAAAATAAAAAAAATACAGAATCTAATTATGTCAGTCCTGAAAGTTCTTCCATCTATTATTTTTTTATTATTTGATTAAATTGTACTTACTACTTACTTTAACTATGTGACATCTACTTAAGATTTTTTATTATTGTAACTAAGAAGCTTTCTACATAAAAAGATATGGCAGACTACTTCTTAAGCTTAGGGTTTTTAGTATTTGCAGTCATCTACAAAACAACAGTTTTATTGGGGTAGGAGCCAGCAAATTATTTTATGAACTTATTTAGAACCTCTGGAGATGATTTTGAGAAGAAGACACCTGCAAAAAATGAAGAGTATTACCCAGGGTCTTCAGTCAAAGGCTACTGAATATACACTGTTCTGTAGATTTCTCCTGTCTTTAGCATTTACAAGCATTTTTTGAAAAACTATGAGTTACAACAAGGTTTAATTTCCCATCAGGAACAATACATTTGTTTACTCGAATCAAAATGTATTAGAAATGTTATTTAATGACATATTTCGGCGGGTAAAAGAATAACATCAGATAAAATCTTGGACAAAAAACAAAAAGAAGAACGTCCATTAGGTGGCGGTAATGCGCCATAAAGTTGGTATGACATCAAAGCAAAAGAAGAAGGTAGATTACACCGGAATTGTCATCACGCCGCTTGTCCTCGGCCATTTTTATTAGGCAAAACACAGCATAAAGTAGCTTTTATCAAAACCAAATTCGGACTATATCACTACACAACGCCGTGTAAGTTCAACACTATTTATGGCTTCTTAGAATTACCATAATTTTCTGACGTACCGCTAACGCTTGCTAAACCCAGCGAGGATTGTTTTTGTTGAAGCTAACAGCGCTATGCTAACGCGCTAAGTTTGCTAACGCTAGCATCAAAAGCAACGGGTTATTTTCTGCTACCCCAAGGCAGGGTTTTGCAAACCCCAAGGCAACCAGACTTCTATAGAAAATAACGTTTTGCTTTTTAAATGATCCATGTAATCGGTTCGAATATAGAGTAAACCCTAATGTAGGACGATTTATCACTAGCTAACTCTGCTAGAACTATTAGCGTCATGAAATAGTGCTGTTGATACAGGTTGTAACATTCAACTACGTGTCTTTTTTTTCTTCAAGTAAATGTTTCGTACTTGTTATATTACAGTTTGTACATGTGGATAATGTTGGCAATAATTGGTTTGGTAGTTGTTTGACTGGTGGTTAACTCCGGCTATGTTGGAGCTGCGCACTGCGACACACTTGTATTACATGGTTTGTGAAGCATTGTTTCTCTTGTTGTAACGCTGGTATTACAACTGACGGAGCCTGAAAATCACTATCCAAGCGACGAGACAAGCTCAAAATGTTACTCTCTTTTTTCCCTGGCCGATATGCTTAGTCTTTTCGAAGTAATGTCAACCTAAGCAGGACATTAGCACTAGCATTTTTCCCAGTACCAACTAACTAACGTTCTGATTAACTGTAAATAATCGAATAACACCGTTGGTTTAGGTGCAGTATATAAGCTACCAGGACAGGCAGCTCCCTGTTTAATTAAAATATATTTTCACTTTGTGTGCATAATTGTAATATTTTAATGTTCAGTCACATCCATAGCCTAATAAGTCAATGCATTATATTTTTAGGTTCTTAGTTTTAAAATACAACCTTCTCGTGTTAAAAAACATCATAAACATTAAGGAAAGCTCACTACTTAACTGTAAAAGAGAATATAGAAGCATATTATGACATAGGAGGTTGGCCATATGAAAAAATATGTAGTTTATTTTACAGAAGACTCATTATCACCATTATAACCCATTTTAAACTAGGGCTGAATTAATGATTCTGATTAATCGCGATTGATCGATTATTGAAATAATCATCAACTAATTTAATAATCGTTTATTCTTTAACTTTAGTATAGAGACTTTAAAACATGCATTTAGCTAACAGAGCAACCCACTTAGAGCTGTAACTATACCAAAATGAAAAAAATATATACATTTGTAAACATTTTGCATTCAGGTAAAAAAAAAAAAATCTCTTTTCGCCTGTCAATATCTTCAACACAAAACTCCTCAAGTGGAAAGTGTTCTTTAGTTTCACAAGGTTAGTTCAATAAATAGTCTAATTTAAGGAACCTTTGGCTGACCAGTTATTGATTGATTAATAAAAAAAAATAATCAACAGATTAATCGATTTGCAAAGAATTGTTAGTTGCTGCTCTACATCAAACTATAGTTGTCAAAGAACATAACATTACACTACACAGAGCTATATGTGGTCTGCAAAGTTACAGTAATTTAGCTTCTATTTTTTTTTTTTCATATAAGCTTGGGAAAGCTTAAGGATAATAAATAGGAAGGACCCGAGTTGTCTACCGATAAAGGTTACCTATCCACACAAAAAAAGTCCCTGTCCTTAGAGTACGCTTTAAACCAGTCTATGCTGTAGCAGAAAAGCCAACCCAATAAAGAAGTAGGCAGACTGATTTCATGACCAGATAGTGTTGAGATCAGAGGCTCCATTGATAGAATTGCATGCTAACCTGTCCAATGGTTAAATTTGGCATAAAGCTAGGGCTGGGTAATAAATCTCTGTTTAGTTTTTTTCTTTCTTTTTTTTCCTACAAAATCCAATTAATTGATTTTCGTTTTAGTTAAACTTCATAATAAAAAACAAATGAAATATACTTTTTAATAAAAAAGAAGCCTTGATCTCGATCCCCCCTCTGGGAGATGACCTGAATTTATAGGGCGTGCTGTGAAACATCCATTTAGAATGTTTTTCACAACAAACAATGAAAATATAACACACTAAGGCTGTGTCCGAGCGTCTGCCCGAACCCCCTAATCCGTCAATCCCTATATAGAGCGGGGACCATATAGTGAACTTTATAGTAAACTCAGTTAACTGAGTAACTCCGCCTCCCCAGACGGTGCCTACACAATTTTTCTTATTTGTTGTGGACCAATGTGACAACACATCCCATAATGCTTTACGAGGAGAGCTGTCCTTAGAGCAAAGCGTTCTGGGATGAATCTTCTTATCTAGTGACCATGGATTGTCACTGCTTTTCAAGGTTCATTGTGGGAAATTTCAAGTCAACTACTTTTTCATCCACTAGACAGTTGAAAACTAATTTATAATGGCGTATACACAATATAGTGCCCTATATAGTAATTAGGGCGGATATGCCGGACACAGCCTAAATTTTTGCAACTAGTGGTGTTAAACTGAGAGCTGGTTTCTTAGTTATGAGTTGGTGCCTGAGAACAAAAGGGATGAACTGAAGTTAGTTTGAATTATTGAAGGATAAACAAAGTGTTGGTTAAAACAAATCCTTGGTTTTAACTAAATGATTACAAACAAAAAAGGATTATTCAATGGATCGCCTGGCATGGGCATTATTCATGTCTTTTGTTGATAATCTGCAAGAACATTGACTCCCTTGCATTTTTAGCTGGAAGTTAGAGCTGTAAACTCTCTATAGATATTATGGTAACCTAGAGTCCAGTCTGATGGTTATCATCTAGTTTATCTTCTAAGTTACAGGAAAATGAAGTATTAGAAGAGTAAATGCGGTTGAGGTTGTGGTAGCACTGTCCTTAAAGATCTTATAATGTTTCTTTGGCAGTTACTAGAAATTGTGCTTTTAAAGTCGTAGGGAAATCATATATAAATGTCAAATCATTCTGGCTTAAACATGTATATAAATGTACTCTTTATCAGACTGTATTGTTCCAAAATTTAGAAAATTTCTATTTAAAAAGAAATCCTGCCTTAAAATCTGTGGGTTTTTTCGTTATTTTATGCAAGCCAGTTAGTAATACGTCAGCTTGAACACCTAAGTTTGGCCAATCATTAATCAACGGTCATCTGTCAATCAAATTTTTTTTAGTCATAGCATCTTGATTCATATGTCCCAGCTAATATACGAAAAGGTTGAAATAAGAAAAAAGAATCTTTTACTTTACCATTTAGTTCCGTCCCAGTGTTCACGGGGATGGACGTCTGTGTCTTCGGCAGGCGTAGAGCTTACAGAACTGGCAGCGTTGCGAGGCAAGGGCTCAAACATGTACGGCTGTAAGCCTTCTACACTAGGGGTGGGTATCGCCAAAGAAGTCACGATTCGATTCGAATCACGATTCACAGGCCACGATGCGATTCTATCACGATGCATCACGATACTTGAATTATTGCGATGCATTGCAATATTTTCTCCTCCATGTTTTGTTTTTTAATGACTCGACACAGTATCCCACGGCCGGGAATGCTTGTGACACAAGGCAGCGTGCGTCAACACATTTGCAGCGACATCTACTGGACTGGAAGTGGTATTGCACTTGTTTTTGGCTGATGTTCGCCAACCATTCATGCAATTTTATTTATTCATTTTTTAAAATTAATAATCGATTCTTGGCATCAAGAATCGATGCAGTAGATCACGAAAATTAGAATCACGATGCATCATCATCACGATTATTTTGCACACCCCTATTCTACACCAAACCAAGCTTCTGCCGCCCTGGCGTCCTCTTCCACAACAACTTTGTCCCTGCTTTCCTACTCTAAATAAAAAATGTATGACGGAGGTGACTCATCCACGAGCTCCGACAAAAAAAAAAAAACACTCTCCTCCTCTTGCATGTTTCCACTGTCCATAGCGATCCTTGACACTGTCGTTGGTAAGTGCTACTTGATCCCAATATAATTTCCCATTGGGAACCTACTAGCACTAAGTTGCTAACTGGATAGCAAGATGCTTCCGAGAAACTAGTTACAATCAAACTTGCTTGCAACCCTTCCGCCACAACAATCCCGCCCCCTTGATAAACGACCAAACACATTCACTTCATTCACTCCTGTAAAGTCGGGCCCCACTCGGGAGAATTCGCAAATGCAAAAGTTGGAACAACCGCTTCCCTTCAACTTTAAAGATAAAAAAGTGGTCAGATAGAGCAACATCAGTAAGAGACCTTAGAAATTTAATAGATGACCAAGTTTAGAATATATATGGTTTTAAAGAAACTCAGATGAAAGTATATTAGCTTTGTGAATTTAACTCGGTTATCATAATGAGTCTCTTTCCAATCTGTTGTTGCTGTGATACATGCAAGGTGTCAGGGAAGCCTTCCTACATCCTTTTTTTTTTTGCCCCCCCCCCCCCAGGAACATGTCAGACTTTATCGACAGCGAGGCCGAGGAATCAGAGGAAGAGTTCGAAGAGAGCGACCTTAAACCTAAGAAGACCCAGAGATTTGTGGAGGAAGATGGTAAGATCTAAAAGCTTCTGGACATGATATGCTGTTTCCATTGGAGGGCATTTGTACACCTGACTTGTTGTTTCACTGCAGATGAAGAAGAGGATGTGGAGAACCCTGAGGAGCAGGATGAACATGGAAATTTACGTGGATTAATTGATGACGATGATGATGTAGAGGAGGAGGAAGAGGCTGAAAAAAGTGGAAGTGGCGGAGGAAGCGACTCTGAGGAGGAAGTAAAACATCGACGGAAAAAGCGCAGTAAGTCAACAGGGTTTTTCATTTGAACAATATCGACTACCGTATTCAAATATTGAAAGGTTCTAATGCTCGAAGTAATCATTTCATATGTACTTAAATTCGATTTTTACCAATAGTTTATGTTTTCTTATTATTAATTAGTGATGCTCTGGTTCAGAGTTTGCAGTTCTGTTCTGTTCTGTTCTGAAATATCTTCTAAAACAGAAATTTGTGAAAATACTTTTCCAGAATTTTGTTATTGTACGTTCTACAGAAATATTATACCACAGAGGTATTGTTACCGGTCTTGCTGCAGTTTTTTTTTTTTGCACATAAAATCATATGGATTCAAATTTTCAAGACCAATCATGACGACTGTTTCAATTAATGTATTCCTGCCAGGGCCGGAAGTGAATGATGTAATCTAAGGTTGATTGATTTTTATCCATGAACTAACAAAAAAATTGGCTTTTTTTTAACTGCCGTTTTCTCTGGTATCAAAAGGATCTTTCCATTATCATAACGGTTTAAATATATATAAAAAAAATGATCATATGGGTTTAAATATTTTAAAAGTAGTTAATCATTATATTTTAACAATTAGTCTCAGCTGTATTAAATAAAAAAAAATTCATTGTCAGCTTATTTAGTAATCTATTCATCAATAAATGGAGTATAGAGACTCTTTAATATGCTTTTAGCTTACAGAGCAACCCACTTAGAGCAGTGATTATACCAAAATAGTGCAAAAATATGTAAACATTTAGCATTTAATATACTTCCGTCTGTCAATATGCTCTGACCAAAACTCCCAAAGTTTTAGTTTCACCTGCTTTAATGTGACAAAAAAGTCTTCTTTAAGGAACCTTTTGCTATCTGATTATTAATCAATTAATTGAAAAAATAATTGACAGATTAATCGATTTGTAAAATAATCATTATTTGCAGTCCTAGCCGGTATACTATTGTATACGGTTGCAACATCTTGCAGCAAAACTGATTTCTGTGTGGATGTGAAATGTAGCGAACCACTCTGCATTTATTAATTTAAGCTTGGCAACATTACAAGCAGTTAATGGGAGTTAGAGGGAAGTCGCACTAAACAGTTGATGAAACAGGACTTTACCTTTTCTGTGAAATGAAGGAAAGACCAAAAGGCCAAACTTTCTAGCCGCTTTCATTAGTGTTTGGTATGGATAGCATTTGTCCTTGTATCAAGAGTCTAATTAAACTGGAATCCATTTTCTGTCTGTCTCATTTCCAAATGCAACATAACAGATGGAGGTTGGATAAAGCCACCTGATTATGTTGGGCTCTGTATGTGCTTTTCTAGATGCGATTCGAAGGAGCCAATGTTAAAATTGAAAAAAGTGTTATTTTAAACAATGAATCCAATTTATCATGATTCAAATACTAAGATGGTTTACAATTATATTTAGTAATTCAAAAATCTTTCTGAGGTGCACAAACTCTAAAGATAAATGCTAAAAGAATAAAAATAAAACACACAGAGCAGTAACAAAACCAAAAGTAGACCAAAATATATAGCTGCTGGAAGCGGCCCCTTATCCTGACACCTCTGGGCCACATAGAATAATAATGAGCAGTTGTATTCATTTATATATTCTTTATACTGCAGTGGGCTTATCCTGGAACTGTTTCACTTTACTGAAAATTGTTTTGTTTCTGCAGCTTATGATGACTGCCTGGATGACGATGATCTTGACTTGATTGAGGAAAATCTTGGTGTAAAAGTAAAAAGGAGGGTAAGAAATGACTATTTCCCTCCTGTGTAGCCTAGTGTTCTGTGTTTATGCTAACTAAAACCATCCTTAACCTTTAACCATCCCCTTTTTTTTTTTTTACAGAAGAAGAAATATGACCGTGTTAAAACTCTGGATGATGATGAAGATGACGATGAGAAAGATCTCATTGCTGATGAGATCTTTCATATGGATGGGGAGGGGGAGCTGGAGGAAGGCGAGGCTGTAGACGAACCCATTCAACAACCAGATGAGGATGAGGAAGGCGATGAGGAGGAGTCAGGTTGATACCAATCTAAAACAAGAAAAAATGCTAATATTGATTGTGAAGCTGTAATGATGTCTTAATATAAATATGTGTTGGGCCCACAGATATTGATGATTTTATTGTGGATGACGATGGGCAGCCTATCACCAAAAAAGGAAAGGGAAAGAGGTTCTCAGGATATACAGATGCGTGAGTGTTTAAATTTGTGAGCATTTGTATCATTAGATGATTTTTTGCTATTAATTTTGTCTAAAGAGAATGTTGGGATATAAAAACCTGATTTGTTTTTCTATAACATTCTTCCAGAGCCCTCCAGGAGGCCCAGGAGATTTTTGGTGGAGACTTTGACTTTGCTGACTTCGACGCAGACAACTACGACCAGGGCGAAGAGGAAGAGGAGGATCAAGATGACGAGAGCTGGGACCGACCCA